GGTTTGTGTTTTCTTGTTGTGTTTGTTTTTTTTTTTTTCTTTTTCTCCGTTCTAGAAGTGTAAAAAATGGCGAAGTTTGTGACACCCGTGATCCAGGACAACCCCTCTGGCTGGGGCCCATGTGCAGTGCCCGAGCAGTTCAGGGACATGCCCTACCAGCCCTTCAGTAAAGGAGACCGCCTGGGAAAGGTACCTCCGTCGTCCCACGAGCGCGTGGGGCTGCTGCTGAACAAGCCCTCTGTGCCTTCTGGCATCCCACCTCCGCATGCTGCCACCGGTATTCATGTCTTCCTACCATGACTGCTCTTCTGCCACTGTTTGGAGTGCAGCCTCACACTTAGCACAGCCCTGAACAGTTAGCGCAGCTGGCAAGCGGAGGTGGGAGTTGAAAGGATTAGTTCTAGAGCGTACAACAGTACCTGCTTCTGCTGCTTGAAGTCCTGCATATATAAAGTCAGAGGTGGGGGGGAACTGCCAGGTTAATAGTCACTCACTTTGGCTGTTTGTGCTTGTCCTTAGGTGGCCGATTGGACAGGAGCCACGTACCAGGATAAAAGATACACAAGTACGTGTTGTCTGGTGGCTGCTCCTGTGGTTTATTTCCTACAAAGTTTTCGTCGAGCGTCGTTCCTGCTGTCGTGTGTCACCCTCTCTGTGGTGGTTACCTGCGCGCCTCAGCAAGAGAGGCTTCTTAAATTAGGGAGTGTGCCTCACCCTTTGGAGAACTCTGTGGGGCTCTCCCTGTCCTTAGGGCTTACTCCTGATTTTTGTACTCCCTCATGGCTGGGGCTTCTCAGGGAGGCTTGGAGGGGGGAAGGAAACATGCTGGCATAAAGCAGGAGTCACAATTTGTACGTCAGACTTAGGTGAAGGCTGTTGGGGGGAATTCTGGGGGAGAAAGAGTCAAAGTGTTGGGGTTTTTTTTTTTTTCCTAGAAGCTTGGTGTTGAGATGCATTACTGTATTTCCAGACAAGTACTCGTCACAGTTTGGTGGTGGAAGTCAATATGCATATTTCCACGAGGAGGATGAGACCAGCTTCCAGCTGGTGGATACAGCACGAACGCAGAAAACGGCGTACCAGAGGAATCGTATGCGATTTGCACAGGTAACGTGTGTTTTCAGGAACAGGCTCAAAGGAGAGCTTTAGCAGCATGGAATTATTTTACAAATAAAGTGTTCTTTTTTTTTTTTTTTTTTCCCCTCTTTCCTTCATTTCTGCAGAGGAACCTTCGGAGAGACAAGGACCGTCGGAACATGCTGCAGTTCAGCATGCAGACGCTGCCAAAGAGTGCCAAGCAGAAGGAGAGGTGAGGCTGCAGATCCGAGCGTACCGTACTTGGGTTGGAGCCTGTGAACATACTGTTGATAAATTTGTTCAATTACTGTAACAGAACCCACTAGAGTGAACAGTCAGCAAAGAAGAACTTCAGGATATTTCAAGTCTGATGTTCTGCTTGTAGTTAAAGGCTATCAAAGAATTTAGAAGTATTTTTGAATCATGTTTAGAAAGTAAACAGGGTGTTTTAAAGCGCAGTGTACCCTTTCTGAATACTGTGTCACAGTCTTCGGAGATGAAGGGATTTGAAGAGCTACTCAGAGTAAACCACAGGCCTCGGGCATCTTGATCAACAGACAGCTCAGCAAATGTTTCAGGTGGCTCGGTGCCTAAAAGCGTTGCTCTGCTGGTGGTAATTTGGAAGCATAGGAATGGTTGTGGCACGTAGGGATCAAGAGCTCCTCTTCATGGCTTTCCTGTCTGTCTTCTTAGAGATCGTTTGCGCCTACAAAAGAAGTTTCAGAAGCAGTTTGGGGTGAGGCAGAAATGGGACCAAAAATCACAGGTAAACTGGCAAGCTTTCTGCCCCTTGTGTTGGTTTGGTTTCTCTGGCTGCGCTGACGGAGCAGCTCCTCTTGAACAAATCCTGATAGGCTGCGTCTCTGTTTCTGTCTCTCTCTGTCCTGCCTCTGGCTGCACAGCAGAAGCCTCGTGACTCCTCTGTTGAAGTTCGCAGTGACTGGGAGGTGAAAGAAGAGATGGATTTCCCTCGGCTGATGAAGATGCGCTACCTGGAGGTGTCGGAGCCACAGGACATGTGAGTTCCTGAAGTAGCTATGTGCCTGCTTCTGCAACTGGCTGGATTTTTGGAAAGCAGGAGGGCAAGGGTCTGCTGGCCTGGTCCCAGTGTTCTCCTTGAGGTACCCAAAGTGGGGGGAGGTAATGGAACATCCGACAAGCCCCTCAGTCCCAGTGTGGTTCGTGGGTGGTGTTATCTGTAGGGGCCTTATCAAAATGGTCCTCTTACCTCTGCAGAGAGTGCTGTGGAGCCCTAGAATACTACGACAAAGCCTTCGACCGCATTACAACCAGGAATGAGAAGCTACTGAGGAGCATTAAGCGCATCTTCCATACCGTCACTACTACTGATGACCCAGTTATCCGAAAGGTATGGTTATGGGTTTGTAAAACCCAATAGAGTGTTTCTTGGTGTGTGCTGTTGTTAGAGACCAGCTGTCGCCATCAGACCAAAGTTAAAGCAGAAAACTTGTAGATCCCTAAGCTTGCAAAGGAAAAGAAGCATTAGCTGGCATTGTTATTTTTTTAGGTCCAAGGCAGAGCTAGATCAATGCAAACCTAGGAATACTGGCCAAGGAAAAGCTGTAATTCTGGAAAGGCAAGCAGACCAGTACTTGAGCTATGTTGGGCAAGAAAATTCCGTGTCAGAGACCTGGTTCTGGAAGTTTCCGCTTTTGGAGATGCAGAAGGCTCAGAGACTTCTCTCTCTGACCCAACCAGCAATAAAAAGCCATACCTTTTCCCAACAGAACTCACATTTTGTAGTGGTTTCCTACTTGTTCCTTGTCTGAGTGAGGGTGGGCCTGGATTGCTGGGTAGTACCTCACACTTTCTCTGGCAGTTGGTGACGTACCTACCAGTTTAGCTTCCTCAGCGTGGGAGAAGAAATTCATGATCTGGTTTGCTAACGCTTTTGCTCTTGGCTGGGGAAGGGAAAGGGGTGTCTGTGTTGCTGAAACACACTTTTCTTCTCCTCCTGTACCCGTAGCTGGCAAAGACCCAAGGGAATGTGTTTGCCACAGATGCCATCCTGGCCACACTGATGAGCTGCACTCGCTCTGTCTATTCCTGGGACATCATTGTCCAGAGAGTTGGATCCAAGCTTTTCTTTGACAAGAGGGACAATTCTGATTTTGGTGAGGAAAAGGCCTGAAAGAAATTGCTGTTATGGTAGCTGGAGAGTCTGGTTTTCTTTAGGGATTTGA